GGGAGCCGCTCGAGGCCGGGCCCTGGCGCGGGGCGGCCGGGGGGGACACGCGCCTCGGGGGGCGGCGGCGTTAAAGAGAAAGAAGCTCTGAGCGCCCGGGAGCGCTGAGAAACGCGGGAGCCGCCCGCGGCCTTTCCTGCCCCGCGGGAACCCCTGGTCCTGGGCTGCTTCGGCTCGGCGTGACCGAAAGCGAGGGGAAAAAGTGCAATAAGGGGGGTTTTGGTGCGGGTGCATCATCTCGAAACAGCAGCGTTGCCRCGCTGCGCTTGGGCTGCCTGCCCTTGTAGGCTGGGGACACTAAACGCTGCCTTTGTGGGCACGTATGAACRCAAACCGAGATTAACCGCGTCAAGCGGCGCTCTTGTTGCTGGACACAGACCTGGCCGGCGCTCCGGACGGTGCCTGGGGGAGAGGGATCGGGCGCAGGCGCCGCCGCGCGCTGCCCTCGGATGCCGCGCGCTCCGGYGAGGTCGCGGCTGCCGGGGCCGAACACCGAACTTGCCGTGGGCCGCGCACCGAGGAGCGTGCCGGAAAGCACGTGGGCAGGCGGGCACGGGGGAAACGGCACCTGGAAGGGCACCGAGCAGCCGGCGGGGCCGGGACCCGGGCGCAGGAGACACCGGGGCTCCCGGCGGACGGAAGCCGTTTTCTCGAGTGGCTTTTACACAACTCGACTGCACGAGAAAACAGGGTCTTTACTCTGCAGCGCGTAGCGTATCTTAATAACAACGCTGCTGGTAAGTAGAGGTGTTAATGCTTGCCACACACGTTGCTATTTTAATCCTGGAACTCACCCCGGCTGAGCGTGCGCGCTTGGCAAGCCGGCTGTTGTCATGTCGCCTCCCGAGAGAAAAGGGGGTTTCGAGCTGGAGCGGCCCGGGGAGCTGCCGAAACCACGTGGAGGCAGCGCGGGGTCGCAGGGAAGACCCGCGGGATGTGGAGCGCCGCGCGGGGCCGGAAAACCCGGATCTYGGCACTACGGGGGCTTGGTTGTTTTCTGTTTCTGTTCCATACAAACCCAAATCCCACTAGGATGGCGGCTCGAGCTGACGCCGTTGGCTAAGGCAGCAATAATGTGGATATATCCTGCTCTTCTGGGGTTGTTTTAGTTGAGAGGAGGAGGAGGAAACGTTAGACCTCGTGTGAGGCTTGGGAGCCCCTAGCAAAGGGCTCGTGCGCCTCTCGCTGCTGCCCTTTGCCTCCTTTTGGCTCCTGGGAGGCACGAGGCTAAAGTCACACCTAAAATCTTGGTCAGTAGCTCTAACGTATCCCGCGTTCCTGTGTGAAGGACGAACCCCTGACTACCAGTGTCTCCTGAGGCAGCCAGAAGGAGGGTTTGTGGTGCCTCTATGAGAGAGAGTGCGTGGAACATCAGGGGAAAAAAAAAAAAAAAAAAAGAAAGAAAAATTAGCAGCAGCTCTTTCTCTAGGACTTAGCCTTGCCTTCTGTATCACCCTGAAACTCCTTCAGAATCGCTCTGAAACGAGCGCGAGGTGGGAAATGTCGCGCGGGGGCAGCTCATGCCCAGGTGTGAGAACAAGAATCCGGCTCCGTTGCCCGCAGCTTCCCCCGGGCTCCACGGATTCCTCCGCGCGGGCCGGATGCGCCGGGGCCGCCGCGGCTCCGCTCCGGGTCACGGAGCGCTCTGGAAGCGCCGTCGGTGGCGCTTCCTCCCGACACCCGCTCTTGGCAGCGCTCGCGGGGCCGGGGGAGCCGGGGACGTCTCCATTGACACGGGGACATTTGCGAGCGCTYGGCAGACGCCCCCGTCACCCCGCTGGGGACACTGAGGTTGCTGTTCTGCCGCCGGCGCACGTGAGCGGGGACGGACGCGCCGGGATCCCGCGGCCGGTTCCTGGCCTCGCGGCACCGCATCCACACACGGCGGCTGGTGGCCACGGCGGGAGCAGAGGGGYCTCCTCCTTGTCCTCTCTGCCCCTCGGAGAGCCTTTTGCTTCCCCTCTAGCAAGGGAGGCTTCTGTGCCGTAAGGAATTAAAGATCCCCAAGGGATGGTGTTATGCCACCCTGTGCCACATGCCCTGTGTCCCCGCTTGAGCGGGAAGGTTGGACTAGATGATCTCTAGAGGTCCCTTCCAACCTCGAATATTCTGTGATCCTGTGTCCTGCCAAACCTGGGCTTCACCCAGTTAAGGAGTTATCTTCCATAACGTTTCCTAGAAGTGCTGCTGACGAGGGAGGCGTTGCTCTGCGGCCAGCAGGCCGGTGCCTCTCTGAACGCAGGGGCTGCACCCGGGATCCGCTTGGGTTTGATCTCCCCAGAGCTCAATGTGCTCAACCCAAGGGTTCTGGCTTCCCGCAGGTCGTGGCCGCTTCCCGATGCGGCTCATCCCGCACGGGCACTGGGAGCGGAGCAGGAGGAGCAGCAGGGGTTTCTGTGCCGAGCGCTTCCCGCTCCAAAGACTCCTTGGGCTGGGCAGCTTTAAGTGGGGTGTTACGCGGGCACGTTGGGTGTCAGGGTTGGAAGCTGACGAGCGGCTGGTTCAGAACCTGCTCCAGAAGTTGAGCGGTGGCCACCTTGGCGACTGCTCCTGAGAGTTAATTCCCCTTTAATCGGGTTACCGCGCCGTAATGTTGGGAGTCAAACAGTGAGTCCAAACATCTGCTCCTTGGAGCATGAAATGGAACCGACTGTGCCGTGTTCAAACACAAGCGGCAGCTTTTGTGCCCTCCCGTAGCCTGCGGGAGAGTGACCGGGCAGCGTGGAGCGCCAAAGCCCGGGATGCAGGAGAAGCCTTCCCCGGCACCCGGAGCAGCGGGATCTTGGTGCTCGGTCTCCCGAAGCTTGGAGTTGACGAGAAGCGTGGGTCTTAATCTGCATTTCTGTCTTCACAGGCAGCCTGCCTCTGCGAAGTGGTACGACCGAAGAGACTACGTCTTTATTGAATTTTGCGTCGAAGACAGTAAAGATGTTAACGTAAATTTTGAAAAATCCAAACTTACTTTCAGGTGAGTAGCTTGGGTATACGTCCAGGCCAAGGAACAGCCAAAAGCTGCACTGAAACAGATGAGGTGCAGCCGCTAAAAGCAGTAAATTCTGCTGCTGAAATGAGTTAATGCTACAAGCTGTTTCCAACTAAACATGAAATTGCTTTTTTCTCTTGACAGTTGTCTTGGAGGAAGCGATAACTTTAAACATTTAAATGAAATTGACCTTTTTAATAATATTGATCCAAATGTAAGTATTCCTTGAACTTATTTCTTGCATACCTAATACTGGCTTATACTGGGCTGAGAATAATCTCTGATAATCAACACTGCAAGCCTCTGGAGGCCAACACTTTGCACTGCAGAGAAAGGAAGGTTCTGAAGCTGTTGCTGCTTGAAGGGTGGAATCTTTAAGGTTTCCAGTTTGGGTTATACTCCTGATGCTGGAGCACAACAATGTCATTGTCCTCACACGTGCAGACAGTGCGGCGTGTCAGAAAACGCCCCTGGCTGGGTTTTGGTCATACCATCCCAAGCAAAATCAGTATCTCTTTTACCTGCTCCAGTTTTTGCTAATTTGCAGTGCAGAATTGTTCCATTTAAAAGCATACAGGCGATTTGGGAATATTCTGATAAGTTCTAGATGATCAAGCAGCCTTCCAAAGATGCCTTTATAGATCCCAGTTTCTCATGTGTGTCTTCAGGGTCAAAGGAACGTGTGCCTGAAGTACTGGAGAAATAATTTAAAGCATGGACATTACCTTTGGACAAAAGGGAATAAGGGATAAACCAGACTTACCTTGAGCCAGGCAGTTCTTGGTGTTTGGGATTGTCCCGGCAAGTGTTCACTCCTTTTTCTTTTCCAGGAGTCAAAGCATAAAAGAACAGACAGATCTATCTTGTGCTGTTTACGAAAAGGAGAATCTGGTCAGGCATGGCCAAGGCTAACGAAAGAGAGGGCAAAGGTGGGTTTGGGGCCCGTGTGGCTGCGGTGGTGGTGTCTGCTGCCTCCCTGGGGTTTGATAATCGTTTCGTGTTTTAATTACGTAGTAGTTAATGGGTTACTTGACAAGCTTCTGATCAAAATGGCAGCTTTTAGTAGCCTTTCTCTACGTAGTAGTATCTGCTTATTCTGAGCTTGTCACTGAGAAGATAAATCTGTGTTGATGTGCAGCTCAACTGGCTCAGCGTGGACTTCAACAACTGGAAAGACTGGGAAGATGATTCAGATGAAGACATGTCCAATTTTGATCGCTTTTCCGAGGTATGGGGCATGGAGACAGGGATTCCTTTTGGTCTGGGGCTGCTGGCAAGCAGAGGCAGCAGCCCTGAGCAGAGGGGGTTGGTTTTCCCTCTGATTTTTTTTTTTTTTTTTTGTCTTCACTCCTAGTGAAGCCTCACAAGCCAGTGCCCTTAGGGTGGGAAGTGCCACCTCTCTGCTCTGGAGCAGGTCCCCACTGCTCACCCTGTGCTGTAGCCTGGGCAGCAGGCACTGTCCGCTTGTCCCTGTGATTTAATATGGGAGAAATGCGGGTTCCCTTGTAGGAGCCACTTATTGCACTAGTCTTTGCTAAGAAATCAAATCCCTTTTTCTGCAGGCTCATGCCCCAGTCTCTGCATTGGTGTAGCAAGGCTTGCAGAAACCACTGCAGGTTTTAACAAAATTGTCAGCTATTTTTAGGTTTGTGTTTCATCAGTTTGGGTAGAGACCGGAGATACCTTCGGTAGCTCCCTCTAACGTGGCAATTATCTTTCTGGGACAGATGATGAACAACATGGGCGGAGATGAAGATGTAGACTTGCCAGAAGTAGATGGGGCAGATGATGTAAGTACCTGTTCTGTTTGCAGCGAGCGTGGCTAGGGCAGGCCCGTGCCCCAGAGTCCCGAGTCAAACCTGTGTTCCCACCTCAGCATCGCTGAGAGCTGAAAGTAGCTCTGAGCCTTCTGGCTGGACGAGTGGTTCCTCTCCCTCCCTCCCTGCAGCCGCGCTCCCGCTTGCGCAGTGTCCCAGGCAGGCTGGTGCTGTGCGGCTTTCTGCAGCACCTCTGTTATTACCGGCCCGCAGACGTGCGGAGTAAGGCCTCCCTAAAGCGTGTCCTGGGGAAGCGGGGCTCTGAGCGACATGAGCAGCAATCTGTGGTGGAAAGAGCAGCTTGTTGGTTGAGTTAGTGGTGGAAGCAAAGGCACCTGCAAGGCCAGTCTGCTCACGTTGCTCTTTTCTCTTCTTTCCAGGACTCGCCAGACAGTGATGATGAAAGTAAGTTGGTATTTTTGTTTGGTTCTGCACACTTGGGCAGCACTCTGAGCACTCGTTGTACGAAAGCCTTGAGGAGAGGCAGCAGACGAACCGTCTGGTCGGTCTGATGGGCTTCCCAGCCGAGCGCTTTGCTCGAGCTAGTGCGGGTACCTTGTTTCAGCACTGGGAGACAATATAATCTAGTGAAAGCCTTTCACTAGAGAGGCTTAAAATGCTGCTTTGACCTTCCCAGGCTGCTGTGGTCCTGCTTAGGCTCCGGCTTCACCAGCAGCAGTCACTTACACGGAGCATCAGGGCGTTCAACACTGGCCCTGGCTGAGAACCTCTTCCATTTCAAGCAGTGACCGTGTAAAGATCTGCTTTAACAAGAACTAATTCTGCACTCGAGTGCAAACGGTGGCAAGGCTAAAGACTTGAAATTGGCCTATTAATTTATTAGTCAAGGATGGTATCTTCTGCCCTGTGATATAATCGGACTCTTGGTAGCTAATGGCAAAAAAAAAAAAAAAAAAGAACTAATGCTTTTATTTTTGTTTTCCTCCCTAGAAATGCCAGATCTGGAGTAAGAAAAACTGTTGTCTTCAGGGTTTGGGGAAAGAACTTCATCACAACATTTCATAATTGAGATAAGAATTCCTGAGTTGATAGCCCTAAAGGGAGATACTGCATCCTTTAACCCATTTTCGGTCCATTTTAAATGGCTTCACTGATGGTTGGTGTTGTACGAGGCAGTCTTAAGCCGCAAGAGGCAATAATGTTATGCATGAACCATTTTCCAGACTTCCAGAAACCAATTGAGATGTAGGCAATCGATACAGAGCAGTTGCAATAAGAAGTTTACAGAGCCTCCTTGCCTCGTAGCAGATGTTACAAAGGGAGAATTCTGAATTTACGTGAAGTGGTGAATTAGCGTTTTCCCCTCTGTTGTGACCTGCAGGTAAATGCAACCATTTTAGTCTTTTACCTCCCAACAGAACTGGCTCAAACAACGTTATTTTAATTGGCTTGCAAAATTTAACAGGTAACATGCAATACCTCTGCAGTGTCTTCAGGTGTGTTCCACTAATGTTTTATTAAAAAAAAGGAAACAAAATTCACTTCACTTTCTATTTAATCACTAGTTCGTGTTCCAGACATATTCTAGCTAAAACTAGTGGAGCCCTAAAGTTCAAGGGGTGAAGCCTGTACATTTGGTATCGTTTGACCCTAAAGCTTTACATCTCTTTAGTCCGGGGGTGAGAGTGGCTGTACATTGTTGCTTGTCGATCTGTACATTTAGACCAAATTGTATTTGCACTGTTGGTATGGAAACGAGTGACAAAATGTTATACACTATTGGGTTTTTTTGTTAGTTTATTTGACCAGCTTATAACAAGGCTGAAAAACCTCAATTTATGTTCAGAGCGGTGGGGATTTTTTTAATGTCTGCATTCTTTCTAATAAACTGTTGAAGACTCCCTGGCTGTCCTGTACGTGTCTGAGTGCAAGGTCACGGTCCTCTTCCTGCTGCCGTGGGATTTTGGGGTTTTTTGGGTTGTTCTGGGGGCGGGCGAGCGCGGCGCCCTCGCCGTCCCTCCCGGTTGTAGGTCCCCTCTGGCACCGGTTTGCAAACCGTGTTGTGATTTGACTCCAATAAAGCGCTGTTTTGTTCTC